ATCTTTTTCTTCCTCTGCAGAGAATCAGAGAATCCTTTGGACATTTTATCAAGTTGGAGATGAGTACTGTTTCCTATTTCTCACTAGAAAGAAGCAAGGCATTATGTTCTGATTATTTATTCTTACTGAATTGAGAGGTGACTCTTTAATACCCTATTATGTTATTGAATTCCTAATCTTATCTTGCCTGTGTAAAATTCACTGTTTAGAACATTCTCAGGAGTCAGTGTTTTCCCAGACACATTAAAAGACAAAAACCCTGCAATATTCAGTGCTTAATGAGGTAGAAAGGGAAGCAGACACCAAGGAGAAAAGAGAGAAATTAGACTTGGAGATGCTGGGCAGAAAGAGCAGGCATTACTACAGAGTACAGCCCTCATCCCCATGCTCATACCCAAGCAACCAGATCATTCAAGGCTCCAGCTGTTACTGGAACCTGGAAATCAATGATCCTGAAGCAAAGTCTCATTTTATTTCTTACACTGACTGTTCAGTGGTAGGGATGGGACACAGACCCTAGTATGTTTCCTTCTAATGCTGAGCACCACCCACAGTTCTGAAGCCAAGCTATTGGCATTCTCTTTTCTTCTGCCAGGCAGGCATCTCTATTTAGCTATTCTCAGCTCAAGTATTCAAGAGACTTGTGTGGGGTGAAGAAGCTATCAGAGGAGAAGTTAGCTTGACTATGGATCTCTTCTAGGTGATTTGAGAGGGGAGTTACCCTCTTCCTCTCTCCCCATAGCTTATAATTCCACTTTAATCATGTTTACTATATCTGTTGGCTGGAGAGTGCAGCAGAAGCCCTTGCTCTGGTTCCCAAAGTTGAAAACACCTTTCACCGTGGTCTTTCAGTGCTCAATCACCTACTCTCCATACTTTTAGTAGAGGTGGGAGATGACTGAGGTTCCCATAATGCAGTTGTGGATGAATTTGATTTAGTGATGGGAGGGCCTTGTAGTGCCACTGGGTCACGGTTGTTTATAACTCCTTCTCTAAGACTTTTAGTCATGTTTAGGACCTTGAGAAGAATTCATCTCCAACCCTAGATGAGAGAAACCATGGCATGAAACTGGGATGATTGTAGATTTTTAGGGAATTGCCAAGGTCATCTTCTAGCATGGACACAGAGTTGAATAACTGCAAAAAACAGACCAAGTTGTGGACAAGGGAACAGTGACAGCTTTGCCCATTCAGGTTTAGTGAAGACTGAAGTTCTTCTAAATAGATTCTGGCTTGGGTAATTTATAGGGTCCTTGAGAATCCTATTTCCCCTGTTGTACCTGGGTTGATACCCACACCTGTGCCTTATAGATGTTTCCTCTTGCAGAAATTTGGAGGATGAGGAAGTGACAGCTCAGGAAGCCTGGTTTAAGTTTCCTTGCCTACCCATGTTCCTTTAACCCTGCTTCAATTCTTTCCTAGAAGAAATAGTTTTATCCTCGAATACTTCTGCAGCACATGCTCATGCCCTTTAGGGGGCAGTGATGAGACGATCCTGAAAGGACTGTGCTGTTGGGAAGACCAAGTGATTCAGAAATCACTACTTACTTCCACATACTTGCACTTGTAGTGATACCATTGAGGAGTAACACTCAAGAGCTACTACTACTCTGCAGCCTACTTCCTGATCCTTTGTCCCATTGGCCACATGAGTAGCAAACTCATAACTGGTTCATACTTCCTCTTTTATCTCAAAGAATTCATTGCCCAGGAAATACTTTTACCAACAAAAGATTTCATGATTTCATGGTCTGTACTTACTTAGTATATAATAAACACACAGAAACTAAACATTTTCAAGTTCAATTTCAGTATTTGGGATTCACTCATGCTCTTCTGGGCTCTAGAGTGCTTGGGCATCTCTATTTTTCTGGACCCACGCCCCACATCATGCTTTGTTTGTCTTATAGGCTCAGTCAGATTTTAGGGTTCAAGTGTTTAGACTCTTCTATGTCTGCTGGTCCTACAGCAGCGATTGGTTAATGTTGCGTCTAATGTTCCCCCTGTTTCGCTGCCCTGGCAGCACTTCCTTCTGTGGAAAACACTTTTCAGGAGTGCTTGGACAACACAGAAATCTGCATAAACTTCTTAAGTTCCACTTAGCAAAAAAGTGGCCCATCTTTTCCTGAACACATGCTAGATAGAATCTGTTCACAGCACTGGAGTTTTATTTAGCTTAAGCGAGGTAAATATAATATCCTGTATTCCTTTAGTAAGGCCCATGAATGAGGGAGATCCAGACTGCTGACTAGTACCACATTAGCAGATAAAAGAAGATACATTGGAACATCTTTTTCTTCCTCTGCAGAGAATCCTTTGAACATTTTACCAAGTTGGAGATGAGTACTGTATCCTATTTCTCACTAGAAAGAAGCAAGGCATTATGTTCTGATTATTAATTCTTACTGAATTGAGAGGTGACTCTTTAATACCCTATTATCTTACCGAATTCCTAATCTTATCTTGCCTGTGTAAAATTCACTGTTTAGAACATTTTCAGAAGTCTGTGTTTCCCCAGACACATTAAAAGACAAAAAACCTGCAATATTCAGTGCTTAATGAGGTAGATGGAAGCAGACATCAAGGAGAAAAGAGAGAAGTTAGACTTGGAGATGCTGTGCAGTAAGAGCAGGCATTACTACACAGTGCAGCCCTCATCCCCATGCTCCTACACAAGCAACCAGATCATTCTTTGCCTCCAGCTCTTACAGCAACCTGGAAATGTATGATCCTGAAGCACTGAATCATTTTAATACTTATATTGACTGTTCAGTGGCAGGGATGGGATGCGGACCCTAGTATGTTTCCTTGTAATGCTGAGCACCACTCACAGTTCTGAAGCCAAGTTATTCGCATTCTCTTTTCTGCTACAGGCAGGCATCTCTATTCAGCTATTCTCAGCTCAAGTATTCAAGAGACTTGTTTGGGGTGAAGAAGCTATCAGAGGAGAAGTTCGCTTCATTATGGATCTCTTCCGGGTGCATTGAGAGGGGAGTTTCCCTTTTCCTCTCTCCCCACAGCTTATCATTTCCATTTGAATCCTGTTTACTATATCTGTTGGCTGGAGAGTGCAGCCGAAGCCCTTGCCCTGGTTCCCAAAGTTGAAAATACCTTTCACCTTGCTCTTTCAGAGCTCAAGCACCTACTCTCCATACTTTTAGTAGAGGTGGGAGATGACTGAGTTTCCCATAATGAAGTTGTGAATGAATTTGATTTAGTGTTGGGAGGGCTTGTAGTGCCACTGGGTCATGGTTGTTTATAACTCCTTCTCTAAGACATTTAGTTATGTTTAGGACCTTGAGAAGAATTCATCTCCAACCCTAGATGAGAGAAACCATGGCATGAAACTGGGATGATTGTAGATTTTTAGGGAATTGCCAAATTCATATTCTAGCATAGACAAAGAGTTTAATGACTGTAAAAAACAGACCAAGTTGTGGAGAAGGGAACAGTGACAGCTATGTCCATTCAGGTTTAGTGAAGACTGAATGTCTTCTAAATAGATTCTGGCTTGGGTAATTTATAGGGTCCTTGAGAATCCTATTTCCCCTGTTGTACCTGGGATGATACCACACCTGTGCCTTATAGATGTTTCCTCTTGAAGAAATTTCGAGGATGAGGAAGTGACAGACTCAGGAATCCTGCTTTAACTTTCCTTGCCTACCCATGTTCCTTTAACCCTGCTTCAATTCTTTCCCTAGAAGAAATAGTTTTATCCTCGAATACTTCTGCAGCACATGCTCATGCCCATTAGGGGGCAGTGATGAGACGATCCTGAAA